ATCAAAAAATTAGGCCGGAATTACTCATAATTTTACTAATGAAATCATAGCCACCCATTAAGTGAAAATTGTTCCTGGGTCAATTTACCATAATGCGGGCTTGTTTTTTAAGAATTTCTATTTTTGTAATAAAGAAATTAAAAAGTTAATTCCGGCCGGAAATTAGTAACCAATTTTGTAATGCGGGCCAAAATTTTGAAGATCCTCGGCCGTAAGCCAATCAAAATCGAGGATCTGCCGGTCCAAATTTGTTGCGGCAGCTATGGTTAATTTAGGATAAAATTCTGCGGCTTGTTTACTGTTTCAACATGTATAGTATACTATATATATATATAAATGAATATTGTAAATTCTACGGATCCTGCATATTATTGTCTTCACAACAATATGCAAGATTCATAGGTATGTACTGTACGTACATACGTATATACTATATGTACATTCGAGCGTTAAAAAACTCTCAGAGTTTATAAAATTTATAATGAAAACACTTTGAAAAACTTTCAAATAATTATATTGAATTCTTGAAAAAGGAAATGGCTTTAATGTGATTATTAAAGCAGGAAAAATCACGGACATAAAAGAATTTAAGGCACATTTAGTAAATTTGAAATGTAGGTCATCTTATTTTAGAAAATATCACCAAAGGTACCAATTGTATCAATTTAAGTCCGCATATTTCTATTCAACAATTTAAAATAATTATTAAGTCATATTCTGCAATACTTTAATTCATTATTTAATACTGTAAGCACAGTATCTTATATGTATACTTTTTTTGTTGCTTTAATATATATTTACGGAGGTTTCATTTCTTTGTAAAATATTGATACCCAATTTATTTTTGATCTTATTTATGTTGCTGATGAGTTCCTTCTTGATGAATTAATCGAATTCCTTAAAGCTTATTTAATCGAGTCTAAAGTCAACTAGTTACGCATTCACTTTGCTCATATTTATAAGACATGTTTTCAAAATAGCAAACTAAAAGAACTACAAAAATGGTGTAATAGCTTTTTAGTAAACCACCCAAATATTGTTTCGATTCTGAAGATTTAGATTCTCTTAATGAAGATGCATCAGCTTCGCTTATTAGGTGAGACGGAAGAGATAAAGATTTGGAATTACATTATAAAGTGGGGAGTTGAACAAAATCCTAATTTATCTTCTGATCCTGAAGATTGTCTGACGAAAATTTTATGGCTCTAAAGGTCACCTTGATAATTTGTTTATCTCATATCCGTTACTTTCAATGCTTGGCAGGTTATGTATTACCATATTTTTAAATTCTTGGAAAGATCTGAATAAAAGCATTTTATCTCCTGATCATAAAGTTACTACGACAATTCTACCACCTCGCATTATTTTAAAATCTGAATTAGAACATGCAGCCAAAATTCATTATGGATTGATAAAAATACCACTTCGTATAGTGTAAGAAATAATCCTTAAGGATGGATTTAACCATGAATCATTTTGGAATTTTTGCAATATGAAAACAAATAATATTACGGTTATAAATGTGAAAGGTATGATAATATTGAAAGAATTTTTAGTGATATAATCCAGTAGCATGGAATTATAGTAGAGATGGTTATGTTGGTTGTCAGGATAACTTCATTTTTTTCACTAAAAAATGATGCAATCCAAAATTCTATTTTAAGTCGCTATTTATAATAGTACTAGTTACCAGATCTTGCTATGTTTTATAATTATAGTGGATTTTATGAGAAACGAATTGGTATTAGTTCAGTGGAAAATTATTTTGTAAACGAATATGAAGTGTTTCAAATTCATAAGCCCAAATAAAGAAATAGAAAACTATTGCCTTTCCATCAATTTAGAGTGCTCTTCAAATTTTCGTGATCATAAAATGATCGCCCATCACATAGAAATATCCAAAATCCTTTATTCTTTTAGTCATAAGTTTGCGTACTAGATCTTGTTGTTAATTGATCAAGCAACAAAAAATTTGTTTTCTTCGATTAAATTTGAATGATGATACTTTGACAATATTTAATTATTTTAATATTCGAAGCTATTTCAAATTTTACTGCTAATTGAATTTAAAAAATGGGATCTTTGCAAGGATTTTTTTCTTCTAAAAATAGATTTATTATGTTTTTCTTAATAAAAATCATGTATAACAATGGCTCGTAGGGTTATTTTACTAGCAAAGATCCCAAATAGTCAATGAAATTTCCAATTTCTAGCCAATCACGGTTAAATTTATTTATTTTTAACGTCCTTGTACGTACGCGATCTTAAGTTGCGAAACACGGATTTACCAAATCTGGGGACGTCTAAAGAGGGCGTCTACAGCAGGGCCGATGATTTTCTGTTTTGGTTAAGACCAAAATTCTGTTTTCGGCTAAGAAAAATTATGTCATGTTTTCTTAGCCGAAAACAGAAAATGTGTACCAGGTTGGTGCGCCGCAGTGAAAATGTATACAATAATAACGATAACGAAGGTAAAAAATTTAAAAAAATACCGAATTTTTTAGCATAATAAACATACAGTAATTCTAGCGAATTTTAACGCCAAATTGCTAATACATATTATGAATAGCATAATCGCTATAACTACATAAAACATTTAATTTGGTTAAACTACTCTAAAAATAATTTTATTCCCTTTAGCTGGTAGGTTCATGTTAGTCGCATTGTTGTCTTAGACATTTCTTGAAATTCATTAAACCACTCTAAGGTGCTTTCTTTGTTATTAATATTTACGAATAAGTCAATTGTAAGCTGTCCAATTATTACGTTTTCCGCAGTAATAATAGATTTTAATTTATTATAATTTTCAATTTTATATTCATAGCTTGATAATTTGTTGAAGTCCTAAATATTATTATGTGCAGCCAACTTAAGTAAAATTTTGAACATTACACGATTATATCTGTAATGGATTTTGAGAAATAGGTAATAATTTTGAGTCCTAAATTTTATATTTATTATATAAATATTAAATTATAACCATTTATTTGTTCTTGTTTAATACAAACTTGTAAAGAATTTTGCATTTTTACAAGAAATATTTTCGTTATTTGCATCATTTCATCAATATGAAAAAACTATTTAATTAAATAATTGCATAATTATAATATGTATACGTATAAACATAAAATGTAATGATCATAAAAATTGAATCTCCGAAGTATCAAGCCTAGAGATAGGAAAAATGCGCATGTTATCGCATGATATAATTTTTTTTTTTTTTTTTATATTTTTCCTCCGGAAAATATCGGATATTTGCCAAAGTTTTTTCCCGATCCTTCTCATCTTTATGTTCATTCATTTTCTTTTCGGAATTTTTCAAAACTACTGCATTCCTATTTCTTAATTTTGCCTGGCATTATACACCTTGGCCTAAATTAAATATACTTTAATTTTCCAATATAAAATTTAGATGGGATAAAATGATGATTCCGAATCATGCGCATTAATGCGCACGATTGAAGAATCATGCGCACGCATGAAACCCAAGCCACCATGGTGCACCAACCTGGTACACATTTTCCATTTGCGTTTTTTTTAATGTATTCTGTGAATTTCTGTGATTAATAAGTTAATTTCTGTGTAATTCTGTAGTAATTTAGCTTGATTCTGTAATTTGATGAGATTAAAAATTTCAAAAATGCAAGTGTGCAAAACTCCGTAACTTCCCGACAAACATGTTTGTAATTTACATTTTCGGGATTTCCCAGTGTCCAATCTGAATTTATGGTCAAATCCTCAGTATTTTTTAGATTTTTGTGGCATTCTACGATGATAAAGGTGATTTCTGTGGTTAGCTGTTTTTAAGGGCTGTTTTCTGTGACCGCAGTAAATCATCGGCCCTGGTCTACAGGTCTAAACGGAGGCAAATCACATGACTTGAGTTTTGATTGGTCGATAAATAAGAATGATGATTAGCCAGCAAATTTATATAAAAAAAAGAAAATTAAAATTTATCGTTATATTAATCGTTATATGCACTCATAGTACTTTTTATGTATAGAACATTATTCATATGGAGCTGAGCAATAGAAACGCACCGTATCTTTTTTAGTGAAATTTTTTAATTTTTAAACAAATATAGTTAAGCAAAATTTAATCATTTAATAAAAAATTAATTTGATTATTTTTGTTTAAAGTTTTAAAAAAATTTACATAGAAAAAATATGGTGCATTTCTACTGATTAACCCCCATATGTTCGTATCTACAAACTTATAATGTAATCAAGTTTAACTTCGAAATAACCTATGCACATTATAAAATAAAAAGCTCCGAGTGTGAAAAGGTATAAAAGAAAAGCATATTACAAAATGTGCCATACACATTATATACTTTATTTGCATATGAAAGAAATTCTAAGTAAAAGAAGTCATCAAAGCTAGCGGCACGCATAAAATATCGGTAAATATAATAAATTTCCTGTCCTATTTTACAAACACGAAATAATAAAAAAAAAAGGAAAAGAAAAAAATCTTTAACATTATTCAGCGATTAACTTTTGTATAGGATGAGTCTGAACTCATTGCTTTTCAGTAGTTAGAACGAACAAAATCTCAAGTAAGTTCTAATAGTGATATATAGTTAGTTATATAAAGAGATTTAGATCAAACATAATGCCAACCCTAATATATTATTAAATTTTGCGCATACCTTTCACGACTACATACTATCAAATTCCACGTTACGACTATTCCCACCAAGAAGATTATGATCTAAATATTTATTTTAACGTTGTAATTAATTTTTTTTTTCAATGATTTGCAAATAAGGGCTTCAACTCAATTATTAAATTTTGAAAAGAAAATTTACTTCCGCCGCCAATTGGCGCTCCACAATCCACACATCTTAAAAAGATCAGAAACGTGAATTAGTCAAAAACTTCAATCTAACCTCAATATAATCATTTAGTAATCAAATTTATTGCGACTATTATAGTGCTTATATAAATAAAGCAGATAGCTTTTGATCGAGGTTAGACTGTAATATTATTCAAATAAAATTACCGGCTAGCTTGCATGGCACCTCCGCATTCACCAATTGTATAAGGATGGCCGTTTGGACATTGATACCAATGCTGAAGTTTCATTTTGCAAAGTTTCAAATTAATTTGATTATTATGTAAAAATACAAAGCCAAAAAAATATAATAAATATATATTACTCCTGATCCCTGAAATTCGCTATTCATTGCTCTACTTATTTCCAGCTTTTCTTCACGTGTCAAAGGTCTATCCTTCATAGCTGCATCTCGAAGGTCCGAAACCTCTCGACGAATTTTATTAATTCTTAACTTACATTGCTCTTCAAAATTTTCAGCACTCATTATAGGAAGCTTTTTATTCCAAATATTTTCACATGTCCTTTCAATTTCAGAACATTTATTTTTGACAGACCGTCGAATAATGGGAGTTACTTGGCCTGTAGGTGTATATTTGAGCCTAAATCGTTCAGTTTTACATTCAACTTCCGCTAACTCCAACGACGACAGAATATCGTGACGAAGATAACTATTTTGTTTAGCTGTCGTAATTATAATATCAAGATGTTTTTTAATTGTTCCGATTATATCTTCGCTAAACTTAACCCAATTTTTTTCATAAGAAGTTTGTTTTTGGGTTTCTGCTATTTTTGTCAACTCATGAAAAATAACTTTTTGAATATTAACTATTTCCAAAAATGCATCAAGATATATTTTGACATCCACTTTTGGAGCACTTAACCCAACATCCGCCAAAGTTTCTTGAAGCTTAATATGTTGATGAACAGGAGAGTCATAATTTGAATTATCCAAAGACATGAAATTTTTGCCGAAATCACATATATTAATTCGAGCTTTGTGCTCATACCTATAATAATTTGACGTAAATATGTATAAACAGGTGAATATTTTCTGAAATCTAAAATAAAGATTATTAACTTACAGAAGAGATACTGCAGCCTCGTATGCAAGTTTATGCGGAGGAGATTTTGTTGCCAACATTATTTGCATCAACTTTTGATATATGGCGAGAAGTACGGATATATGTTGCTTCCATCTCTCTTTATACATTAATGGAATAGAATATTTTTCAAGAAATATATATTGCTCTGTTGATATAATTTCCGGAAGTTTCTGCAACACTGAATCTTTTTCTATAATTTTCGTTTCTTTATCTTTCAACGGTTTTTGAATTTCTTTTAATAATTCTTTTCGTTTATTTTCTAGTAGTTTTGTAGCACTTGTTATATCTTTATTTAGCTTTTTTAGTTGATTATCGTATTTCACCAAGAATTTTTTGGTTTGAACATCCAACCCATTTTTTTTTGTTGCTCTTCCATAACGATAAATATTTTTAATGGGAGTACGGCATTGTGGACAACTTTTAGGATCACTTGGTTGAGAAGTAATTGTTTTAATCTGGATCCATTTGTCGTTTTTATCGTCCTTTTCATAATATTCATTCATTTCCATCAGATGATCGAGGCTGTCTGCTGTGTAGACATGACCACAATCTAAGACGATCATTCTCTCGGAAGTCCAATCTACTTCTGCAAAGGTTTCTTGCATAATCAAATCAACAACTAATATTGATGATCGAAATTAATAAACAATAACCTTTTAGTTAATAACAATAACCTTGTCGTAAATAAAAACCTTGATTTTTGACATTATCATCTGTAGTGCACTCTGCACAATATTGTGATGGCGGACATTTCTCGCCTACAATTCACAATTTAAAAAAATATAATGATAATTAATTTAAAATGTTTTGTAAATTAAATCATGAAATTAGATCTATTGGCTTACCACAGATGCCAAAACATTGATGCCCACAGTTCAACAATTTTTCACATCGCAAATTACATGGAAGTCGGTTGCAAGGTACGCCACATGGCAAGTTACAAGTACCCTCATGATTACATTGCCACCCACATACTATAAAAATTCAATTAAATATTAAATATTAAGAATGTATTTAATTACGAATTATAATTATTATATTACATTCTGCACAGACTGAACAAGGTTCCGCACAAATTTGTTCGCATTTAGAATGCATGCAAGAAACATTGCAGGAACTTTTACAAGGTTTGCATGATCGACCCTCATGACACTCTTCTTTACATATATGACCTTATATTGACAAAGTAATAGGTTGTAGAAAATAATAATTTAACAAGAATACAGCATAATAATAGAAATAGTCATACCACAGAATAAGTTTCTATTGTTGTGCACAAATAACTATATTAGTTTAGAAACAATGCATTGTTATATTTGATTTCATTAACGTAATACGCACCTTTTACATCTTTGTGAGCATTCTCCGTGATTCGATCTGACAATTTGCCCCATATTATTGATAAGTGGGGTTTGGTTTGCTTTTTTAGATAAATTTTGACACTCGAAACATGTAGACATGCAGTGATGTCCGCATGGAAGAGGCTTTTGACATTTTTCTTTACATACAAATTCATAGATTGACACATGACACTAAATAATAATATAATAACCAATAAATAAAAATTTCTAACAAACAATTAATATAAAAGACAACTCTTTTATACCTTCATTAAATGTTCATGTTCACAATTAGGCAATTTCCTTAGCACTTTTTCATTGCAAAGTACTTTATCTATATTTTTATTATGGTGACACTGTAATCGAATTGAAAGATGTGTGCCGTTAAATAATTATTAATTTCAAACTCAATAAAATTTATCACATACCTTGGCATTTTCATATTTGTGTCTGCACGGCAATGTAATGCTTCCAATTGGAAAAAGGCAATCACCACAATCTTCCCCACACATTTTATTTCTACAAGGATGTTGACAGTCTGGATATAATCTTATACAAGCTTTTTGGCAAAAAACACCAATATGTCGTGTATCATCTAAATGACACCTATATGGGCCTATAATTATAGGTAATTCAATTAATACAACATATAATATATACACATAACAAATATTACGTTAACTTACATGTATGCCCACATTTTAACAGTCGGCGACCTATAATAATTTTAAAATATAGTAGTTGTATAAAATAAGGTGTTTAACAATATGATAAACCTACAAGACTTGAGGCAACCTCCTTCAGGAGAAATTTTGTCGAATTCGCTTGCATCATATATGTTGCTCTTACATTCTGGATGTCGAGAACATACAATCGGGAATCCTGGCCCAACCTGACCACGTTTGCGTAAAATTTCCAAAACTTTCTTCCAAAAATCCGAATGCCTTACCATAAGATCTGCATTGCCCAAAAGAAACATGCCATGTTTTGCACGAGATAAAAGAACATTAGAGCGATTTGTTGACTTCAAAAAGCCAATATTCCCATGATCACTCTCCTTTCTTGTATTACGAACAAGTGATATAATCACTATATCTGCTTCTTCTCCTTGAAAGTTGTCAACTGTACGAAGAACAACCTATATTAATTTAAAAAAGAAAATATTAGGATTTTTTTTGATTAACAAAACAAACTACATTTAGCAACATAATTCTTAGTAATTACCTGTTGTGACAATTTTTTCTTTTCAGCTACACTATTTATATTTTCAATAGAAGACACTGATCCGCTATCGGAATTTTTATTTCCACCATCTATGCTTTCCTCCATACTAGTAATCAATTGATCATCCCGTTCGTCAATTACCACAACATATGAATTTGATAGCATATCTCTTATTTTAATGAGCTGTCCAAGATATGGGGTTAATACCGCGATTTGACCTGGTTTATTGTATCCATTACGAACAAAATGCTAAATATAATGAAAACATCAATGTTTGAATAAATAACATTAATTATTTATATATTATTAAACAATTGTTGAGAATATAAAATAATCAATTACCTTCACAAGTCCTATTACCATTTTAACTTCAAAAGTATTTGAATGAGAGTTCAATGCAAAGTCATTTTCACTGGAATCTTCAGGATGATGATGATCCATAAAATAAACATTTCTCTGAGCACCACATACGTCTGGATATTTGACAGTATTTTCATCATCAACAAGTTCTTTATAAAGTGTGTATCGGATTAAGTCGGAAATTTCTCCTCTCATTCTCCTTTGTGTGCATAATTTCGACTTTTTTAGACGCATTGCCTGATCACCATTAACAAGACGTTCAAATAGACTTTTATCAAGAGCGTAATTGCATCCAATTTTTGAATCACATGTTAAAGAGTATGTGGCGCAATGAGGACGAAGCTAAATAATAATAATAATAACAATGATAATAGTAATAATAATAATAATAATAATAATAATAAAAATAGCATTATTATTATTATTTTAATATCTAATATATACACGTCAAAAAAAAATTTTATTTGTATGTACCTGATTATGATCACCGATCAGGATCATATGCTGCGTCTCTGGCGTTAGTGAACTCAAAATATGTGCCTCTAGGACTTCGCCTGCTTCTTCACAGATAATTATACGTGGTCCTAAAATTTGTAATATCCAATTTAATTTAAGATCTGTTATGATAATAATTACTTTAAAGTCTTACCAATAGAGCGAATTAAAGTTTGAAATTTTGCTGCTCCATTTGTTGTCATCCCAATTACATCACAATCACGAAGAAATTGACGACGATTTTCATCGTAAATTTTATCAATGGCATTTTTTTTCTCTTCGTATTGTCCTTTGATTTTGACGAGATCTTCAAGATAATCTGACTGAACGTTTTCCTTCCAAAAATCGTGCAATCTTATTCTTTCGCCCTTAGACATTTGCCATACATTAGGATCATATTTTATGTCCTCCAAAGGTCGATTACCTTCGGGTTCAACCCAAGAAAGAAGCCAATTTCGTATAAATTCTTTAGAATCTTTAGAATCTTCAATATTTTCAAGCGTTTCTGGTGTATTAATATTAGCTTCATTGGCTTCCATATTGCGTTCAATTTTAGAATACTCAATATCTTCCATATATTCGGTAGAATATTCGTTATTAATATGTCCAAGAACTTTAAATGAGTTAACATTAGCTTCATTAGCTTTCATATTACTTTTAGTTTCTTGAATTTGAAAATTCTTAACCCATTTCTGTGCAAGGTCCAAATCACTTCCATTAATCCATTGGTCGAATATTGCCTGCTTATCCTTCCTATTCTTGTCCTTGTCTACTATCTGCAATTCATTTTTATTATCGAGTAAAATATTTGGTATATCCGGATTTTGAAACTTTTTCAAGTGGTCTGGGTATTCTTCAAACAAATAACTAGCAATATTATCCCAATTTAACCATCTGCGAGAAAAACTATCTCGTATTTTTTCGGCTTCGTTTTCAATTCTTCCAAGCTCTCCATATCCTTCATGCAACATACTTTTTTGACCTCTGGAACGATCACGTTTTTGGCATAGTTCTTCTATATTGAAACGCTTAATAGTTTCAGACTTTGATCTGCCGCCTAATCGTACAATTTTTTCAACACCAGCATTTAATAAGTTCTGAAGCGTTATAAAATCGTGTTAGCTATTTTTCTACCGTGAAGTAATTTTTAAATATGATTATTTAATTACCTCAAGAAACTGGTCTAATGCATGATTAGTAAAACAAATTGCCAATATTGGACCTATTTTTGTAGTATTCTTATTTGCTAGCAACACTTTCATTATTTCAACACCAACGAAAGTTTTGCCAGTTCCAGGAGGTCCTATTAAATTATACATTATTTTTTATTATATAAATACAATAATATAATCATATATTGTAGAATATATTGATGTGTAGTCTGGGAAACTAACCTTCAATTAGGGCAACTTCTCGACATAAAGAATATACAAGTGATTTCGCTTTATAAATTAAATTTATAAAGATATTAATTAAATAATTATTAGAAAAACAAGTTACAAATTTCTTTAGATATACCTTGAGTATCATCGAGTGTACTTAATTTTTGAAGATTTTGAATAACAATTTCATGAGAAGATGTGTCAGCAACATTTAGTAAAAGCCGTTTATTTTTATCTTTAAGTAGTACTGATAAATCGAACACAAATTCAGGTGCACGAGTATATATAGGTGGATCAACAACAGCAAAAGAGGAAGTTTCGGTTATTTGCGGTGCCAAATATTTTTCAAAAGGAATATTTGATGGTAATGTTGTTTGAAGAGCTTTTAAAATATGGTAATACGACTCAAAGTACTATGCACCACCGTTAAAATAAAAACAAGTTTGAAAAAGAACACAATGTATATTATGCATTTAAAACTAAAAATTAAGTTCTTACCACTCCTGTAGATTCAACCATAAAGCATCCAGCCGTCTGTTTACTAAAATTTTTTCTCTTAATTTCTTCTAAAGCAATTTGATAAGTCCGGCTATCAATAAAACTGATATCAATTAGTGCTATTTGTTGATCTTGCGACAATAAATTTTCATCACGAAACGATACTGTTCCAAAGAACAAAGAAAATTGAAGGCCACTATTAGGTGAATTATTTCCTGATGGCCAAAGCAAACAAACTAAACTTCCATTCATGAGTTTTCCACTTTTTTTCCAATATTGTAATCGGTCTTGTTTACTTCCTGAATGTCGTCGCATTGGAGGTTGTGTGAAACTCATTTGACAAGAAAAGCCTTGCCTTTGATTGAATTTTATATCAGAAAAATGAACATTTGCATATACATTTAAGTCGCCTCCTTCCATGCCTTCTTTGTCTTCATACTTGTGCCTTCCACCATGCTCTTGTAATCTTTTGATTTTTGCGTGATTTTTGGCTGATTCCGAGATAAATTTAATGAAACTGTAAAAAAAAAAAAGTTAAGTTTTTAAATTTATTAAATTTGAAATTTAGTTTACTTTAAATAATACATACTTTTCAATGCCAAGGCGTATAGGACACATCATATCTTCTCTGAGAAGACGAAACTGTGTGTCAAGAAGGCGCTCTGCACCCTTTGGTAGATGATGCAAGGCGTCATCCATATTCGTTGTTGGTAAAAATGGATATCGATCGCATAATATTTCATTCTTAGTTGGAATAATTGAAATTTTTGATATTTCACTAAAATCATTATCATGGCGTGGTCCATTTTTGGAAAGTTCACCTTTTTAATAATAAAAAAGTTCTAAATTAAACCTGGCTGAATAAGTATAAGAAATGTCAGTATATAATACCTGGTGGATCGTAATCAAGCATCAAAGCAACTTTTTTTGCCAGTTTTTCGTGTTTATTGGGTTTATTAGGCTTTGTTTTTTGAGATAACAAGTTACGTCGATGATAATTCAACACTTTTTTCATGTTGTCTATTTCCTTATCAAGGATTGTAAAAAAATATTCCCTACGCACAACATTAGAGGCAAGTGGTTCATTATATGTACTTCCAATATCTTGTTGAAGAGTATTTTGCCACAATTTTTTAGTTTGTTCAATTTTCTCTACAATTTTGTACATCGTTTCGTTAGTCGACGTTTCCTTTATACGCTTCATAAAAACATTGCATAATCTAACAATGATCAAAAAGAATTGGCCCATTCTATAAAAAATTTATATTATTAGTTAGATAGAAAATATTGGTTTATAATTTGCAAAACATTACTCGTACGCACGAGGTAGGTATGAATGCGGTTGCATCATCTTCAATCAACTTAGATTGGTTAATTTTTTTATCAACAATATCATTTCTTTTAACTAGAATATCTAGCTTATCAATAACTCCATCATACATAAATGAATCCTTTATTATGCATAATAAAAGTCTAATTAGAACGAATTTGACGTTCAATTAATTTTTTAAAAAAATTATTACCAGATTTGAATAGATAATATAAAATATTGCATTAACATATTTCTCTACAATGCATTCTGTAATTCTAGTGCGAGTTAAAAGCGCCATGAATGGCAATATCACACGTTGAAAAGAAGCAATTGATCCACTAAGTCTAGAATTGTCAATGGATTTAAAAAGATAAAATAATGAGCACTTTATGCAATCATCATTATCAACTTACTCATTAACACATACCCCGCATCCACGGACATGGGAAACATGACGATTTCTCTTATACGCTCCAAACCTTCAGGCTGACCTAACTCGGTTACAAGCTCTTCAACTTCATCATTTTGCTGCTTGTCTATTGCTGCAAGGCATGATGTAATAAAGTGCCTCATTTTGTGTTGATGCACTAATTCTTTTTTCATAAATCTCTTCCATGCATATTTGAATTCATCTCCTAATGGAGTGAAAACGACTTTATCTGATCCTCCATAAGATAATTCAGCTGAATTAAAATTATCGGATAATGTTTTAAGCTGGTCTTTTTCAATCTCATGTGGACTAGGTCGAAGTTTGAGTATCGTCTCCTGAGGCTTTCGTGATCCATCGCTTGTGCAATCACGAGCAAAATGGCCTGCTACTCCACAGTTGTAACATTTGTTACTTCGATTATTGGTTTTGTTTTTATTATTTCCTTTTCTTCTTTTAATATCTCGCTCACTATTTCCATTTCTTTTAATATCTAGTTCACTATTTTCTTTTCTTTTTTTAATATATCGTTCACTATTTGTTGACATTTTCAAATTAATATGTGAATGAAAAATATATGACGCTTTCTTTTTATTATATCAGTGCTATTGTTAGTTGAAAAGGAAATTGATTCGCATTAGAGTTGGCCCCGAAACCACGTGATGCTAATTTGTCACATGCTATAACTTATAAAAATCGACGATCTATTTTGA